TAGTTTTAATCTTCCTCTTTGAAGATGATCACTTGGTGATCGAAACACGTGTCGAGGTGTTAAAAATAACGATTTGGTGTTGGGAAAAAACTCCAGTAATATTGGAGATGATATTCAATTCTACATCAAAAACCAAGAAGTTATGAGGTGATTAAATCAAGTAATCAACAGAAAGCCTAATTTTTGAGTGTACTTTTCCGACAGATCATTTGATCCGCTGACAAATCCACCAGATATAACAAATTTATGAAATAAAACCACATAGGTATGCTCAGATGTATGAAATGTATTGATTGTTAAACCCTTCATACGCACCACACATGTCTCCATTGTTTTTGTTGTTGTTTTTGTAGAACATACTTTTTACAGGAAATTCTAAGCAGTTCGAAAATGAACTCATGCGGAGTATCATCTCGTTCACTTTTTGAACTAGTGTTGATAGTATTAATGATTTTTGTTAATGTTTGAGTTAGATTTAATCATGATCTCGGTATAATAGTGACGACGAGTTTTGTAAGTGAAGATGTGAATTGAGAAATTGCAGAAAAAATGATGGATTAAGCCATCATATCCAGGAGTTTATAACATCAGTGTAGGATTGATCTATTCCTAACGAAAATTTTATGAGAAAAAAAGTTATAGTTCCATTGTAATCTGTAAACAAATCAATGTATTCCCACCAAAAATGTGGAAGACAATTTATTACTTCCACGTCAAAATATACTGTTTTCCAACATTGAAATCAGTATACCAGATATTGACTGAGGAAACAAATTGGAACATTACCCATTATTCCGTGACGATAAAGAAACATTTAAGTGTTGGTTCATTTATTTCTAGCTGATAATAATGAAAACTAATAACGTGAAAAATTTTTGACTTGATTCGAAAGTTGTGAATGCAAAGGCAGCGAGAAATAGAAATAATTGCTGTGTATGATTGCCTTTTTGCATTCTTATTATGGAAGCATGTTTTCCTCTCCGAAACATCACGATGGAAATTGAGAAAACTTGCTTGCGGTAAAATATGTCCCAGTTATTTTCTGGGTGTTTTGACCGTGGTCTGCAGGTTTTCAAGCCTGTCGTTTCGTCTACTTCTTCGGTAGACATTACCAAAGGCGATGAGCTAGCGGTCAAAGTACTGAAGTTGTGTACATTTAAGAACAGTTAGCCAGATTTTATTGATGTCCATTGCCTCTAGCTACCTCTCCTTAATTGCATATAAACAAGGTCAGGTAATCCATTTAAAAGAAAACGAGTGACGCCCGCCTATGATAATATAAAACCAGAGACAAATTCCTACATTGTAGTTTCTACGTTGAGAACAACTCAATCACTTCGACCGTTGAGAACTACTCGAATTTCTGCGTTGAAACTACCCGATCTTACCTCATCGCTTTTGATAATGTCTACGGCAGAAGTAGGCAAAACGTCAGGTGTAAAGACCTGTAGACCATGGCCAAAAAACCCGAAAACCCGTGTTTACATTCTTCGATCACACGGTAAGTTACTGATCAATTCGATATTCTTACCGAAGAAAAGATGATTGAGTAGCTTATCAACGTGAACTACATGTTCAAGTTTCCATGAAACATGAAAAATTCTGCCAATATGCTTTTTTTGATTTTCCCCAAATTGTGAAAGGAAAATGCACAACAATTCAAACATACACCTTTCTCTAGCCTTTCAATTGTGATTTTCTAACTCTTTGGGGAGATTGAAATCTTGTGACATCATTTGTGTTGCAAAATTTCACCATTTGATTTTTAAATTTACTTTTTCTTCTGATTCAGGTGCACATCAAACTTCACCAATGATAATTCAAATTCGATGATCAAATAAGAGTAACTTTGCGCTATTTTTTTTTCAGGTGTTTCAGTGGACTTCAAAAAGTACGAATTATGAAAACCACGGTTGTGAAAATATCACTCATGTGGTTTGCTTTTCTTAGCTTCCTCAACTTTTCCAATACATAAAAAATATAACCATTTTGAAAATCCTCAAAAGACATAGCTATGCAAGAGAGGTTAATTAATGAAGGTTTTCCTAAATTTTGANCGAATTATATGTCATCATATGAGTCCCAATCTGACAAACACACATTTGTTAATTCGTCGCGCTCATAGTCTACACTTTGATGTATCATTCACTATCTGTTTATGATTATATCGTCTATTCAGTGTCAAAACAATTATTGTCGCTCCCACCAATTTTTAAATTTACGTTTTCTCTGATTCTCCTTTTTTTCCAGGTGTCTCAATGAACTTCAAAAGAACGAATTATGTGGAACACAAAATGGAAATATCACTCATGTGCTTTGTTTTTCTTATACAAGCAATTTTCTGAGTTTTGGCCGGTGGGAGAAGTCATATTTGCGTAAGGTTTGGGTCGGTGTATGACAAAGAAAGTATTAGGAAAAAAGGAATAGGAACTTTTATTTGCAATTTTACGTTTACGGCTCGAATAATCTAACAGACTGATAACAGATTTCTACACATCTACTGCACACCTTGAGGGGGGCTTCTCACCGGCTATGACTCAGTCTGGCAATTGTAACCATTTTCAAAATCCTTAAAACTCACAAGACAGCTCAACTAATGGGGGTTTTCCTGAATTTCGAATTCTACGTCATCAGATGAGTCACAATATCAAAAGAGATCTATGAAAACTCTATTTCATCAACAGTGAATTATATTTACTTCCAATTGATTCTATTTTTGCTGGCGCGATATGTGCAATAACCATTTTCAAATTTTGTAACCTGGCGTGAAAGAAATATCTGAAAAATGATTAAATTTCACCACAGGTGAACCCGTCTGAGGTTTTTCATGTTTTTTTGCAGACTCGTCAGACGAGTCAAGCTGAAGTGCCATCGAACGGGAACATAACGTTCCAGAATGAAACCGAAGAAAGATCTATCACAGAAGATCCTAGGCCTGCAGATTATGGAAGGAACCAAAGCTTTTCCATAAGACACTCTTCAGTCTCCAAAAGTCAGATGAAAGGTCAGTTACCATCATCCACTTCTTCAACAATTGTTTCAGATGAACAACAGAGCTTCAGCACAACGCGTTTATGTTCTAACACCAGACAGCACTGTTTCGAACCACCTTGTGGTGTCCTTGAGAAACAAGCCTGAGTAAACAAAGGTGATGACATCTCCCTTTGCGAAGATGACATCTATGGGATAGACAGAGAACTTAATCCTTGAATATCAAAGATGAACAAGTCCTCTCAATGCTGTCAGTTGCAAAGCCGAACCTTTGTATATAGACTAATATACAAAGGACAAACTTTGAAGCCTCTTTCATCTCTGATATTTTAGAAATTAGTTCTCTGTCGTTCCCATAGATGTCGTCTTCTTGAGGGAAGATGTTATCGCTTCGATATCGACCACCAAAGAGATTCGTCCTCTGTATTTCACTGCAAGACATGAGGTTGAAAACCAGAGTCCACACACAACGCATCTATGATTCAAGACCAGATATACATCAAAACAGACATAAGCGGAGCTACGCTGAACCATGCACGCATGGCTGTTCTTAAAGGTCAGCTTGCGCAGACGCCGTCTTTGGGAACGACAGATATCATAGATAAACGAGACCTCTCAAAGCGGTCAGTTGTTAAGCCAAAGCATTGTCTGAGGATTTCAGACAATGGTCAAACCTTTGTATATAGACTAATATACAAAGGACAAACTTTGAAGCCTCGTTCATCTCTGATATCTTAGTAATTAGTTCTCTGTCGTTTCCATAGATGTCGTCTTCTCGAGGGAAGATGTTATCGCTTCGATATCGGTCGCCAAAGAGATTCGTCCTCTGTCTTTCACTGTAGCTTTCACTGCAAGGCATAATGTTGAAAACCAGAGCCCAAACACAACGCATCTATGATTCAAGACCGGATATACATCAAAACAGACATCAGTGGAGCTACGCTGAACCAGACACGCATGGCTATTCTTAAAGGTCAGCTTACGCAGACGCCATCTACGGGAACGACAGAGAATTCAGTCCTCGAATATCAAAGATAAACGAAACCTCTAAAAGCGGTCAGTTACAAAGTCAAACCTTTGTATATATGCTAATATCTTTGTATATAGACGATATACAAATGTCAAACTTTGGAGCCTTGTTCATCTCTGATATTTTAGGAATGATTTCCCTGTAGTTCCCATATATGTCGTCTTCGTGAGGGAAAGTGTTACCGCCTTCACCTAACTGTTCCAGAGTGGACGATTCTGTAAACACCCATGAGGAACAATAGTTCCGGAAACTCTTCTATGCTTGCCTATTTTGTTTGATCTTTCAAAAAATTGTTTTAACAAAAATGTATTTCCTGGAAAAAACACATTTATCACTAGTGAGATTTGTTTTTATTTCCAGAATTTCGCGAAGCATTCAGACTTTTCGACAAAGATGGCGACGGCAGCATTACGAAAGAGGAGCTAGGGCGTGTGATGAGGTCTCTAGGACAGTTTGCTCGCACAGAAGAGCTGCAGCAGATGTTACAAGAAGTGGATATAGATGGTAAGGGAACTCTGAGTGGCTGAGTGAGGAAGCATTGATGCTGGCCAGACGTGGGGGCTGAAACCAGACATGATTAGCTTTACACCACGGTGATTGAATCCATGATAACATATGTATAGGGTCTTTCATTAGGCGCTTTCTATCTTTAGATTTAAATGAAACAAAGTGTATGTGTGAGATAATATCGAAATTATTTATTCGTTCCAAAAACCTGTTGATGCCATTATGTGTGTCTGCACCCATAGCAGACAAGCCCTATTAGCCTTGACCAGACAATGTGTCTAGTACTAGAGTGCCACCACGACTTCTTTAAGTGAGGCGTACTCGAAACGTCTAATTTTCTGGCACATAAATCAGGCTGAATTTGATCGATGGCTTGGGTTATGTTGGCTTTGAGATGGTTTGTGGCTTAATAATAATGATAATAATATGATTTTATTTCTTTGAGACAGTACAGGCTGCATGGAAAAAGTCAAAGGAAGGGTTTCATACAAAGTGCATATACCATCAACAAACGAATAGCAAACACCGCATAAAAAACATACAAACGGTTATACATATGTATATAAGAGATAATCAAAAGCAAATAAGTACATAAATAGATGAGAAAAAAATAATAAATATCCCCTAAAAATTGAACTATGGAGTAAAAGCAATTTTGCACTAGAAAATCTTTCAGATTTCGTTTTAAAATGGAAAATGAGCTACTATTATTTATGCTTTCCGGGATCGAATTAAATATTTCTGGAGCCCTGAAGTTTGGGACATTTTGAGTTATTCTAAGTTTTTTTAAGGTGGTTGACAATGTTTCTTGGTGTATTTCATCAGTTCGGACTTCCATTGTTTAATATGATATAAATTGATTTGATAACCCTGCAAAAAATCAAATAGATTAACCGAAAACAACAATTTCATTAAACAAAAAACTGAAATTACAAAGAAACAACATACAACAACAACCAAACAAATAGAAATTGAAATACTAATAAAAGCTGAAAAAATTGAAAAATTAAAAATATTGATAACAAAAAAATTGAAAAATAATAAAAATTAAAAGATTTCAAACCAAGTTATGTCACGACGTTTCGATTTTTAGTATCCACAATCGTCTTCGAGTGAGTTATCTCCCGAAGACGATTGTTGATACTAAAAATCGAAACGTCGTGACATAACTTGGTTATCTAAGGCATTGTTTTATCAATATTCAGAAAAAGACGATTTGCCGAGAACCAATTATTAACTGTGGATAAAGTTTCCTCACAGTTTTTCGTTATAGAACTTTCTCGGGTATCGGAAATTATAAGTGAGGTGTCATCTGCGTACATAGTGAAGGATGCTGGCACATGGAGCTTATCAATATCATTGATGTAAATTATGAATAGAAAAGGGCCAAGTACTGACCCTTGTGGGTCACCCAAGTCGTTTTTCAAGTACCCTGATGACTCCTTTTTAATTGAGACATACTGCCATCTGTCACAAAGATATGACCGTATCCAATCCAGAGGTATACCCCTCACACCATAGTGATAGAGTTTATCCAAAAGAATTCTGTGATTTACACAGTCAAATGCCCTGCTGAGATCACAAAAAATCCCAACAAGGCATTCGCCTGCCTCAATGTAATCCACTAGGTTGTGATAGTAGGAATATAGTGATGTGGTTGTTGATTACTTATTTAGAAATGTTGATTTTCTATTTTCTATTTATTATATCGATATATGATAAACGTTGGTGTTCGTAAGTGTACTTATTCGCAGACACATTTGACTTAAGGAAATCCCAAAAGAAAAAGTCCATTGGACTCAAATCGCACGATCTCAGCGTACAGTTCACATCAGTGACCAGAAATGGGCCTTATCGCTGAAGATGATTTTTTCATGAAAATTATGGTCAGTTACCAACAGCTCCCGAGCCTATTCAGCGAACACACATCGTTTTATGTGGTCGTTCACCTTTAGTTTCTGAGTCAGTTGAGTTTTTTCCCAAGTCACGACAAAGCCCAAGTCATGATACAAAATTCGCCAAGTTGTGGTCTCGCAGAGGCGATATTTTCAGTAGATCGAATATATAATGAAGTCTTTGGTTTCTTCAGGTGATGGTAACGTCAGCTTCGAGGAGTTTGTAGACATCGCATGGTCTGCTAGCGCTGGTACAGATCCTGACCACGTACAGTCTAGAGAAGAAGAAGACAAGGAGCTCAGAGACGCCTTCAGGGTTTTCGACAAGCACAACAGGGGCTACATCACCGCTTCTGATTTGAGAGCTGTGCTGCAGTGTCTGGGAGAAGACCTGTCTGAAGAAGAGAGTGAGTTGCGAAACTCTGCGAGTTTGCACAACTAATGCTTTTTCGAATTTCAGTTGAGGACATGATCAAAGAGGTTGACGTTGATGGGGATGGTAGGATTGACTTTTATGGTGAGTTGACAAACGAGCTGACTGCTCAGAAGAATCCAAGATCTGTCAAAATAGAAATATTAAAATGATGGGTTACAATCTTGAATTCAAAATTGGCAAAAAGGGGTTTCTTTGTTGTCTTGCAAACAGTATAAAATGTAAAGTGGAAAAGTGAAATGTTACATTTTAAAATTCAATAGAAGTGGAAACCCAATATTACTATTTTGGGTCAGTTTCATACAATCCATCAGTACTTCATTCTCAAAAAAACACATATTTTGAATTCCATTTCTTCACTTATTTCAGCGTCACGTGACCTTGAAAAACGATAGAGAAAAGTTCTTAGTTATTTCATCCTTGTTATCAGGTGAACCAACATAAATATTAAAAAAAATAGAAAACATTCAAAATGATTTTGAGTCAAATGTACCTCTGTATTTGGGTGTCATTAAAATTGTTCCATTTTTTTTGAATAATCACTTCAAGAGGATTTTGTCGAATGAGATTATCTTTGAAATGATACAAGAATGAAAAATATGTTTTATCAATATTATTTCATAACCATGTCAGCGTCAACACTATCATAGTAAATAATAAGGAAATCCAATTGAATTTTATGTGGAATAAATTACACAATGTGAAAAATCGATGTCATGAAATCAGATTTCGGTCATTTTTACAAATAACTTCAGATTTGATCAATATTTAAAAAGCATACAGTGACTAAAAACACAAACACAAACACTATCATTAATGGCGCATATGTATTCTTTCGCTAACCATCTCTATTTTTATGGCAGCAACTTTGTTTTTTCTTGCTTTCACTAGGACTCCAAAGTTCAAGTTTTTTACCTCAGTAATATTTTTGACATGAGCCTCAATTAGGATTTGAAAAATGATATAAATCATATAATAAATTATCCAACCTATCTATCCGATATTTATTGACCTATTTTTCTATTAATATTTGATATAGCTAAGTCAACACTACTTGTGAATGATTATTCATATCTCGTATTTACATCTGTTGGTAAATATTGGTAATGATGTTGATAATGCTCTATATTAACACTTCATAATCAAAAGTATCAATTACATAATCTGTATCTACAGACATTGTATGTGATGGAATCTGCCGATACTTCATCAGTAATACTCTCAAGGGCATACACTTTTTCAAATGTTTTTGCCTGTAAAACTTCAAGTAGTTGGTTTTTGGTATAGTTATTCGGTATATTCGGTATTTTGATGAGCTGTCCTCAAAAATATTGGCTTTCATGTTCTTATGATAGTCCACATCGCGGTCTTCAAGTTTTCTTCCACATAATTTCAAAGAATTCAGAACCCATCCTTAACTTCCTTCGCAATGCACAATTATTTGTTGCGATACTTTATTTGCAGGCATGTTAGGCGTATACATTCTCGAACCATCAGTCCACCCTTCAGTAACTGTGTCGTGAGTGTCATACCAAGTTTCGTTCAAATAGAAAATTTGCCATTGTTTTTGTCTATATTAAGTTATTTGTTCTAGGTATTTTTTACACAATTCCACTATTCTTCTCTGCTTTCCATAACTGCTTGACGTTTCTTTATTATTTTAAATCTAAATCCTAGTTTCTTTATCCAATTCTGAAGAGTTTTGTCACAGCAGCTCACATTGTGGCCGGAAGTATTCAATTTCTTCCTTATGATTTCAATTGTAGGTATCTCATTGCTTTTGTAACAGTCGAATATTGTTTTTTTCATTGATTTTATTAGATGTACATCTGAAGGTTTTGGTAATCCTGTATCACATCGCGTCTTGCGTTCATAAGGTTTGTTTTTGACTATTTTACGTGCAGTTGAGAAATGAATTTTGGTCAAATCTGATGTTGCTTATAGGTAATAGTTTGTTTCCTTCAAAACCAAACTTGAGATGTAGATTCTTACTCTTACATACTCTCTCTGTTTCAATATTCAAATCCATCCGAATCTTTTTCACTGGTATCTCTTTTTCGCATTGTTTACCATCGCTATTGGAATCACCACACAGGAAAAAGTCTGCGTTGCTATCACACTCGTTATTACTATTAGTACTTGTCCAAGGACGACACATTTTAAACAGGTAACATTCAAAACGAACCGCCAAGGCTACAGTCCACGTGGACTAGTTGGCAGCGGCTGTATTTCTCTGTATTGGTTTTTTTGGTCTTTGAGAGCACCGACAGCTTTAACTATGCACAATAGCGGTTACTTCGACTATACTAATTTTGTATGCTAGCCTTCCATCTGTGGTGTAATAGCCAAACTATATGATATAGAAATGAAGGTACCTGTAATATAACCAGTAAATAGTTGCGTCAAAAATCAGTTAAATACAATGGTTATTACTGAAATTAAAATATCCGAAGTGATAAATGAAATTTGCTAATTCTGTGTCAGTTCTATCGAAATAATTGTAACTACATTAAAAAGTAATGAACAAATCTATCACTTGTGATTTGAATTACACTAAAATTTGCGTTCATGAACTTAATAAATCTAACGGTTAAATTCCACTTGAAGATTTGAAGTAGGTAGTATTTGACAGGACGATTGTCTCTAGGTGGCAGTGCATCTCTTGAAGAGAAGAAGAAATTCACCAAAGTGACATTTTGTTTGACGTTTTCTTAAAATACTACGAAAGCAGCTTTTTTTGTTCTGCTAAGGATATAGTGTGCTCGAAACATTGATTTTGATGGCTTTTTTCGTTTTATATTTTTCAGAATTTGTAAATGCTCTTGGTGAACCTGGAAATGACGACAGCTACGACGAAGAAGATGAAGAAATAATGGGATACTGAAGAAAAAACAAATGCAAACTTTTTGGAATATCATCTTATCGATAGTAAAGAAGAACAAAACCAAAGCATTCCTTTTCGTCCTCAGCTTGTCAGCTATGATAAATTTTCATATATGTGTATTTGTTAAGCATATTGATATAATTGCCTTGTGTCTAAATTGAAATTGTATATTATAGAGAAATTTTAAACTAACTACCTATATATAATGGAAACAAATGCAATTTTTTCATTTTTCCAGTCCTGTCCTAACTAAATTGAAAAGGGAGCTTAGTTATGAGTTCAAACTGATTGAGAATAACTGACTTTTGTGTAATTCGAAGCTTAGATAAAAGCAGTTGTTTCGAAAATAATTTTCTCCACTTTCAGGGAACGTTCTATCAGAAAGCTGGAAAGCCATCCACAAAAATGAATCGACAAGCCATAGCATCAAAGTTTGGTCAGGTCCTTAGTAGCAGTCATCACCTGGGGGCGTAAACTGGGTAAATATGTGAATAATACGCCCAACGATTTTATTATTTTTTTTATCTGATCGATACCGTAGATTGCTGGTGAGAGTGGTATGATGACTGCTACCTAGGACCTTCCGAATAATTTTTTAGTTTTGAGTTCATTAACTATATACATCACTATTATATTTCTTCTTTCAATAAAACCGTTCAACATAAAAACTTTTTTCACTTATTTTATTTGAATCCTGTATTTGGTTCATTATGTATTTTTCTGTAACACACCTACCTGTATATGGTTCATCACCTTTTTTGAACATTCAAAGACACTCAAAGGAATCTTTAGATTCACCATTAGTTTTATTATGCTTTCCCTGCAAATCCAGATCGGAAACAGAATCGCATTATGTTTGTTTGACAATGACAATGTGTCGTGGTATATTTCGCTAGTTCGGACTTCCATTGTCTAATATAATACCCGAGACAAAGTCCATATCCACACAATCCCAAACAATGGTAAACTACTTCGAGCACTGGTGCAACAAGTGGCGCATCAAAATAAACCCCCCCAAAACCCAAACCATCCTATTCAGACATTCTAATACCACTACTCGCCCCAGACTAAGTACTAACAACTTGCACCTCCGACTGTAGGAGAGAACCTCCAACTTCAGGACTCGGTGTTTTCTTGGAGATTACTTTCACGAGGACCATCAACTGGGAGACCGACCTTAGAAAAACTCTGGACAAAGTTCGGAAAAGGTCCAATCTCCTAAAGGCTCTGAGTGACAAAGCCACAATGTACTGCACGCTCTCCCAGAGACAAATCCACCGCATACTAACAACCGAGAGACGAATCCTACGTAACACCCATAACCTCCCTTTCTGATACCCTTCCCAAGATTCATATAACTGAATAAATATCACCCCAATCAATTTGAGATTTCAGGAACTGCGAAAACCATGAGAAGCAACAACACCGCTGACATCAGCACCCTCATCACCCCTTGGACGCCATTTGGAAGACCGAGAAGGATACCAAGGAAGAAGCTACCGGTCCCCCCAGTCAGATTCCTGGGAGCAGTGGAAGACCCAACGGAGCAAATCCAGGACATCCTTGAAGAGTACCCACTGGCAATCAGATAGAGGACAGCGAACGGCCTGGAACACCCTGAAGTCTCAGGTGTACTTCCCCCGGCCCAACAAAAACCGGAACCCTCAAGGACGACTACAGCCATCGTCCCGGACACTCCAACCAATAACGCAATTACAAACTGTGATACTTTGAATTTGAGTTATTTGTAAAGGAACGCAACCCTAAAGAGGCATAATCCTATAACAGGGCCCCCTACTTATAGCATTATGCCTATGTAACTCATACTGTCAAGCACAAATGAATAAACATCGTAAATCATAAAAAAACCTAGCTGAAAGTTGTTATTTTATTATTCATTAAGGTAAATTTGTTACGTCTTCTTGGTGGAAACGTTCCCCTTGTTCGTCACTCATACTTCCTAAGTTTTCAGGGAAAAAACTCAGGTGAGAGTGCATACAATATATCTTTAATGAATTCAAAAAATGAGTAGATGAGTGAACAAATACTCTTCCGAATGTCCACAATTTGATTCCAATTCATTATGAAAAAACATTTATCTATATGACAATGATTTTGAGGAAGCAGGAAGAGAATTTGGACAAGTGATGCCACATTATAAAAGGTTAATTAAAATATATCAGATAAACTTTATTCAATATACAACAAATATGAAAATAATACTTATGGAATCAAAATACCGTATGGTGTGCAACTACCTGTTAGTCACTTTGAATCATTCATTGTGGGTGGCAGCCCTTTTTATACACTAACATTCGTTACGATATCACTCTGCGACCCCACGAAACCATTATTGACCGTCCCCTTCTCCTCTATTCGTGCGCAACTTCTAGGCCAGTTTGGCTCCTCGTCTAACGCCTCCAAAACGGCCAAAAACTTTCGCCTGGATTTCCGCATCTTTCTCAACGGGGGTTCGACCACCTTGCCCAAGAAATACTCCACAACCAGATCCTCCAAGAAGATGCAAACTGCGAAATTGACTACGGAAATTATCAGCATGGGGTACCTGCCTTCCATGGGAGGTAGCTGCAGCTCCAAGGCCACCCTCAGCCATTCGAAAGGGTTGAGGACTAAGTATACGCACAGAGCTGTGGTGAGGAGCAAAGAAAGGGAGAAGTAGGTGTTCGTATATAAGGGTTTCCGGTAGGGCTTGCCCTTAGAGAAAGCCACGTTCATTGTGATGTACTGAAATATGGACACCGAAAATACCGCGTAGTTCTCATATGAGTACAGGTACTCCGGTTGGTCTTCGTCGTAGACGAAGGGAGTGAACCAGCTGTAAGTTTGAATCCAGTAGTAAGCAAGCAGCTGGAAAACCGTAGCTGTGGTGAGGAAAAGCACTATGGAGGATATCGGGATAAATCCTATCAGCGACGTTCTGGGAGGAATTGGGTCTAGAGCTTCGAAAGCTTTGGTGTTTCCGAAAACCGCGGCAAAGTTCATAATCAGCGGGATGTCTATGAAGAGGAATTGCATGGAAGTCAGGTTCGAGTCTATGTTGTAGAGGATCGAGACAGCAGCGAACTCGGTAAGGCTGAAGCAGAGCATGATTTTGAAGACTCCGAAGGCCGTCACCAGGGCTGCGCGTCCTTCTTTGATAATCTCAGGGACGCATGAGATGTTCTGTTCTTTGGACGTGAAGGGAGAAGCCACACTCGATTCGGCTTCTGAAAGGGATATGCCGACGTGGGCTGCCCTCAGAGCTCCGCAGTCGTTTGCTCCGTCTCCGCACATTGCTGAAAAATGGTGTGAAGTTGTAGAGAGAAGCGTTTTGAATTGAATTTATGGTGTGGAAAGTGTGTAGCACATACAGAAATCTGGGTAGTGGATTTGGTACTTTCATTAACAAGATAAAACAATTACTTTGCGAAATATATGACAAAGAGGATACTTTTATTTTTGTTAAGGACAAAACACAAGCACTACAGGAAAATTCTTAAGGCGCTCTTAGAACGGAAGCAGTGATTCATCTGGGATTTGAATCTCTTGGAGAATAAATTCATTTGAAAAAACGTTGTTAGGAAGTTTATTCCACATAGGGGAACGGAAGGAAAACGGACCCTGCAGGTAGAACGGACCATACTAATAACTTTCAAACTGTTAACGCCATCTATCATCGACTTACGTCAACTTGACAGTCACCTTTCACTTAGAGTTGGTAAGTGTCCTTGAAGCGCCATGCAGTGGCACATGTTTTTATCAAAGTGAGTTAATTTTCACGTATTTCGATGTAAAAACAGCAAATTTTGAACTGCCTTCAGTTTTATTATGTTAAAGATATCAGGGATTTTGTATTATTGTATGATATATTGTTTGTTTCACTTAGTTTAAACATTAAATAGACAATATTCTCCTCAATCTTAACCTCAAAATAATTTATTGTTTACATTCCTACCGAAAAGGCAAAACGGAACGGGCAAAATAGACAACGTGGTCCGTTTTACCTTCAATACAATTGGTTTGTGATTATACATACATAATTTGATATTAAAAATAGGTATTTTCATTTCAGATGGTTAACAACTATAAAAGAAAGTCGTTAAGCCCCAAAATAACTGGGCAACAATCAACAATAACATTCATTTTAACATCATCTACTCATCGTTTTGAGGTTCAACTCAGTACCCCTCAAACTTCACTGAATAAGAACTCTTTCATTTGGAGAACTGCGTTTATGGGGTATAAACTTCCTGAGAACGGTTTTTCTAAAAGTCCTCTACTTTATTATTTGGTCCTTGAGGTTGACGTTGAGCGACTAATCATCCACAACAGGAAAAGCCTTTAGGCGCTCTGAGAGCGGTTCCTTTGCGAAAGTGGCGATTCATATTGTCCGATATACTCACCTACAGAATATCCCAATTTCTTCAACTCCTCAACCAATTGCTGCTTCTGCATACCAGACATTCTGGCGAAGATTGTCCCTTTCGTAACGATTTTAGAAATCAAATCCGGATAGTTTTCAACAACATCTGCCCAGACTTTACCGGTGACGGCAAAGCAGTATCGGCGTTTCTGACATTTCTCGATGTCAGTAGAGTCTCCATTGTATTTGACCTGAGAAGTATAAGTTCCTCCTTCTTATGCTGTTTTATTTTTATATAACCTTATAATATGTTTGGTCCTTCAACCTTGATTTGAAGATTGAGTAACTTTTATATATAGTGTAAAACACTTAAGATGAAGACATCCCTGTATTTTAGTCATTTTTGAAAGCTGATTCAAAATCGATTCTGACCCTACAAACCAAATTTCAACTCAAAACTCGAAGTTTGATTTTTTTTGTAATTTTCATATTCAAGTACAATTTTCAATTAATGGTTTCGAAAAAAAAGCTGCAGGAATGATCGAATAGTCAAAATCAATGAAATAAATGCATTAAAATAACTAAAACTGGAAATTATCATTTTATTAAATGTAAGTCAAACACTGAAAACCTACCCCGATAAGAGATGTACTTTCAGCTAGACGGAGCTTCCGTTCATAGCTCTTGGATGGTTCGAGAGTGGTTAAACGAACATTTTCCATTACGTTGGATTGGTAGAAATAGCCGATATGAACAATGGCCTCCTCGCCGTCCCGACATAACTCCATAACTTCTGTGGAACTATCAAGAATAGGATTCACAAGTCTGGGCCACGAAATTGATAAGAACTTTGTGTGAGAATATGGCAAACCTGCCGTGAAATAGGTACTCCAGAACTTAGGAGAGTGGACAATAATAACAATAATTACACTCGGGCTAAGTAATGCGAAAAGTGCGGCCCATGAAGGTCTACACCTGTACCAAAAATCAAATATCTGCTTTCAAAAATGGCTCAAATACTTTACAATGTAACATATTATTTATTTCCAAAAAGACCTGCTGAGTATAAGTGTAGGATAATGTCAATATACCAGACTAGAACAGGGGATAAAATTGGAAAATAACCAGGAAAAACACAGAAGTGTCTTCATCTTAAGTGTGTCACACTGTATATGAAAACTTTTATTTATTTCACAGTGCATCGTCAAAGCTACTAGCTAAGTTTCCTACCTGATGTGAAGCTGGACTAACAGTGCGATATATTATGGAAGGTATAGAAGTTTCGGGCAATTTCTGAGTCAGAATTTCAATTATATCTTGATCAGGTTCCACCATACCGCATTCCTTAGCTATGTGAATACCGGTTCGAATGTTGTCTCCTGAAAAATACATTCAGTCTCAAATATATTGACAGTAGTCGTAATTTGGATTAATAATTTCTCATTCAATTATGTTTTTTCATAGATAGACAACTTCATTAGTTATTAATGGTACTGAAATTCTAATTTTGAAATTTCTAGACGTTATTTCTATATGAACTTTTAGGCTTGATCCACATGTTAGCTTAAAGACATTTGTTGTCCTTGACAATGCCAGCTTGTTTGTCCTTTACGAGGGTGTTCTGAAAAGTTAGTGGATTTCGTTATTCATCTCCGTCACTCACTGAAGTTTCAGCCATTTTGAACGCACAGTTGTGATGTAACAGTCTTTTGGGTAAGTTGATGTTAGTGTTTTTATGAAAATGGACAAAATCGTTTACGGGGAACGATGCACATTTGGAACGTCCAAAAACTGCAACTACCGACGAAAATATCGCTAAAGTTCATCAAATGGTGCTAGACGACCTCCAAATTGAAGTAAGAGAGATATCAGAGGTTATGACCACGTCAAAATCACGTATTTGTCACATATTCAATCAACATTTAGGCATGAGACAGCTGTTTGTGCGTTGGGTGCCGCGTTTGCTCACGTTAGACCAAAAACGTAGGCGCTGAATAATTACTGTAGATGAAACATGAATACACCATTATACGTCCGAAACAAAAATACAGTCCAAATAGTGTACTGCAAAGGGGGAACTGGCTCCAAAAAGCAAAAACTGTTTTTTCGGCTTAGAAAGCAATGACTACTGTTTTCGGGATAGTCATAAAGTTATTTTGATCTTCAAACTTGATGAAAAACGGCCACAGTTGCAAAGAAAAGAATCCGCTTTCACCATGACAACGAACCGTCTCACATCTCAGCGGTTGTCATGGCGAAAATCCACGAATTACGATTTAAACTGTTTGACCATCTGCCTCACTACCAGATCTAGCTTCAAGCTACTTCTTTTTGTTCCTTCATAAATTGCACTCGGAGGATAGAGATTTTTATCAAATGAAGAGACAGCCACCTTCGTGGACAATTATTGTGTAGATAAAAACAGGTTACGGAGATGGGAACATCGCTGAGAGAAATGTGTAGAGTTGAATCTGTATCTGTAGAGTAGGGAGGGTGATCGCACACGACATGCATGGCAGTCTCATCTTCCTGTTCACACATCCTACATAGAGGTGTGTCTACTAGCCCCATATTATGGAGGTGTTCCCTTAGTTGACAGTGGCCTGTTAGAAATACAGTCTTGCCAAGGTGATCCTGGCAAGATTGCATCTTTTGATTTCATCCCATCTGTTTAAGGATTTAGCATGGGTGTAAAATTTGACTAGTTCCGCAATTGTTGAAGTCATCAGGCCGTAGGTGCCACTGGGTCCTAAAATTCTTAGTCCAGCCGCTTCCTTGGCTAAAGAGTCGGCAATGCGATTACCTTTACTCCTGTCATGCCCTTTAACCCACCTCAGAATAATGTTATTATCTACCGAGGCTTTGGCTAAATCTTGGTGACATTCTAGAACTAGCCCTGAGGTAACACGTTGTCTGTTCAAGGCTAATAGGACTTGTCTGCTGTCAGTGCAGATTGTTATGTTTTTGCCAGAAATTTCTTTCTTGGTTATTTCTTTTGTGGCGATTGAGATACCAGCCAGTTCTGTTTGGACCACGCTGGTATTTCTTCCCATTCCCCACTCAATTCTTAGGCTTAGTGATCTGGAGTACACTCCACACCCTAAGCCTTCGTGTAGAGTTGAAAAGAGACTGTGTTGATAATTTAAAAAAAAAATCTAAAAAAATGTCTTGTATCTTTGTTAGGTCGAAAACCTGATTTTCTGGTGATTCTCCGGTATATGTGGGTGTTTTGTAGAGGCCAGTATCATTTTCAATGTGAGGTTATATTTGGTTAATGGCCTGTTTCGATAAATTTTTGTTAATGATGTGTAATTCGTATAACTTAATTAAGTTCCTCATTAAAATTCTCTGTGGAACTCGAGATAACGCTGCGTTTGCTATGGTAAGCTGCCAATTTATGTTGCTGAGGATGATTAGAATAGTTGCTGATAAATGTGTCTGTTCGGGTATGTTTATGGTAAATTTTCCTCTCCTAAACCAAAATACTGCCTCTCCACATGTGTTCGAGTAGACAAGTAATTTTTTTTATTTTCAAAAACGTATTGCTATATTCCGTTTCAGCAGACTTGACTTCTCTGGTTTATGAAATCGAATACATGAACAATATTTCTTGTATCGATTCCTCTTAGTTTGACCAACATATACTCTTTATCGCAATCGTCATACCATATTTCGTAAATCCAAGACTTTATCTTTTTCGCCATTCCGTCTTCCGGAATGCCCAACTCTTGTTGAAGTGTACGAGCAGTTTTGAAAGCTATTTTCATTCTCTGATTTTCGAAAAATTTGAACCATTTCGTTGACGTGCTTGGCAACCCGAAAAATGATACGATGGAAAAAAAGAGTCTGGGATTCATGAAATGAGCTGTCGAACTAAGCGGACTGTAATATCTTGCTGAAAAAACATGTAGACCGGAAAAGAATAGTGTTGCTCAACAATGACTTGTTTCAGGATTTTCCATTTGCATTAATAATTTGCAGATTGTTTTTCCGTTTCTCAACCTAGTCTCCCATCTCTGTAATAGGACTCTGCACAATAATTGTTCACGAAGGTGGTTGTCTCTTCATTTGACGATAATATCTGCCCTTTGAGCGCAGTTTTTAGATGAGGGAAGAGAAAGAAGTCGCTTGGAGCAAGATCTGGCGAATAAGGCAGATGGTCAATATGAGATACGTGAATATAATTAGAATACGTACCTGTTATCATAACAACCTTCAATCTGGCATCTTTCAACGTCTTTATAACCTCCGTAGTCTGCGGTTTCAATTTGTTCTCCAGTACTATGAGACCGATGAACTCGAGTTCCGACTCCACTGCTTCCCTGCCTAGTTTCATAACATCTTGAAAACTAACACCCTTCAATTCCTTCTTTCCTAAGGCTATGACCCTATACCCTTGCCCGGTGTATTCTTCCAGCCTGAAGAGAAGATCTTCTGGAAGGGACGTTGGGCTGGACAAGGACATAATCATCTCTGGTGAACCTTTACAAAACACTTCGAAGGTATCCGAATTCGAAGACTTGACGATGACGCTCATCCGTTGGAGATGGGAAGAGAACTGGAACTGTTTGACTATACCGAGTTGAAAGTTGTTCTAGAAAAATTGATATATCAGTAGATTGAGATCTACTGAATGAAAATTGGAAACTTTTTGAAAAGTTTTTGTTATAATTTCACTGGGAGGGATGATGTGCTCTAGAACTCCGCAAGGTTTCATTCTTGGGCCAACACTTTCATCTACCTATGTTAACGTTACCTTCTGTAACTTTACTTCGGTTAGTTTCTTGTTATTTTCTGGTGATACAAATATAATAATACAAGAAGAGAACACTGAAATTTCTGCTCACTCTTCTAAAGATGCTACTGACTACCGACAGGGTCCTAATTTTTCCAAAACTTGAATATCTGCATTAAAAAATGATGATAGGTTGCTTTATGAAATATGCTCCAAAAATGTTTCGTTGCGAAAATATGAGGTGTTAGAGTCCTCGTTCAATTTGGAATAAAAAGTTCTCTCAAGTCCAATAATGAGAAAATGACATTATCTCCTACATGAAAGCAAGCAGGGGAATTTTTCATACCGAAGGGCAGTCTAAAGAACTCAACGTAGCCAGAAGTAGCTTAACCTCCGATACGTCATTTTTGAGTAAACAAACGAAAATACTTGTATTGTCCGAGAAATTATTGAGAAATTTCACCACATTGAAATCGATCCCATTTCAGCTTTGAATTGGTAAGACAAAGACAGTAATAGAAACGTTAACAAAAAATATATCGATCCATATGAAAAATCGAAAACATTACAACAAAATAAATATAACCAACGTGGAACGACCGTTGAAATAGTTTCCCTCCACTTTCAGTTGAAAATGTTTCCCTCCACTTCAAGCTGCTTATAACCCGCCAGTTAGTTCTCGATCCAACCGTTTTGGCCCATTATTCCGCCTGAGTAGCGACCAACGAATATGCGCCAAGTCAACCATCGATCTGAGGATTCGTTAAATCCAACTCTCCAGTTTCTTTACGAATCTTTTACTGCAACACGAGTGAATGAATTCAACTATTCTGGTATGAATAATCTTCATTATTTACCTGTACATATTCATTAAATTTTTTTTTATTACAGTACCTGATGTGTCTTTCTATTTGTCGAACCGTGGCCAAATTTTCTTCAATCGAGTTACACGAGTAAACAGAAGCAACATGAATAATTAGAACGATTATAATATTTGCAAGTTTTTATAGCTGACGTTTCTTCTACAACACCGATAGGACGAAACCGGAAACCTCAAAAATTTAGAGAACTACATCCGCTGCATCATCGTCTTTGATGACGTAAACAGTACATGTAGACGAAATGTCAGACATAAAATCCCATATTCCATGGTCAATATACCTGGAAAATATCCTCGACAGAGTTATCTAGAGCGTAAAAGCTAACACTTTTAGATTAGAGGATGATTTTAGTTCTCACCTTGCTATCTTCTTTTGGTTTCACTTCAATGTGTTGTTCGATACTATTTCCAGTTACACCTTGTAGTTCCCATTCAGTTGATTCAAACATCTGCAAAATAGAATATCCAGAAACTGAATTCTATCCTCAATGATTGCTTTACCTTCAGATCCAAAGGATCCCCTTCCAATTCACCGTTTATTATTGAAAGCGAATGACAAGTAGCCATTCCCTTAATCAAAGGGGAAACGCTCGATATTCCCTTAATTCTTTTCAGTGTTTCTTTGATTTTTCGATTTTCTACTGGAACCACGCCCCACATATCCATCTCATCTTCTGTCAATGTACCAGTCTAAAAATAACAGCCCACGGATAGAATTACTAGAATGAAAATGTATGAGTAGATTATAAAATGGAAACTGGACATTTTCATAGGTAAATTAGAAATAGATCCAATTACAGATAAAACATCCCTTCAACTCAATCCAAACTTAATCTCTGTTCAAAAAATCTGTTCAAAATCTGTTTTTCCGTTAATCAGCTGTCGCCCCCATACGAACAACAATTCTCAGAAGTTGAGAAACTTGTGCGAGCTAAGGACTAACGAGGTCTTTCCTTTTAACGTGTGATTCCTATTACAGTTGCAGAATCATCCCAGCTTCGACCACATAAATTCTCTCGAGAAAAATATCTGGTCGAGGCCGATCTTGAGTCGGGCGCACTACCACCGCGGCCAATTCCACAACAAATCTCTTGATATATCAGTTTTTTCGATATACAGTAGAGATAGCATATTAAAGCATACACTTTAATTGAACTTCTGAAGTCAGAAATGAACATGATGACAATATAGGATCTTTCATTAATAACTTTTTATCTATGAATCTGAATGAAAGAAAGTGTGTGTTTTTTTTAGTGTTACGATCTTCGTTCGGGTTTAGGCCGTCGTGGTTTTGAACTGTATTCTAACGCCAGGATGAATAGACCTCTGAAGGAGCCAGTCACTCGTGCTGGCGAAACGTCAGGATACAGGGATACAGTTCCAAACCAAGACGACCTTCAAACCCGAACGAAGATCGTAACACGGAAAATTTTTAATCGTTTGAAAGACATATTGATGCCATTATGTGTGGAATAAACATTGTTCAAATGAATTTTCCGGCTTCTTTGGGTGGAGCCCATCCGAAATTTCCAATTTTCCATGACTGGTGCATAAATCAGGCTGAATTTGGCCGATGGCATGGGTTATGTTGGCTTTGAGGGCCACTGTAGTTTGTAACTCATTCGCATACACCTGCAACTTAAGAGAACCACACAAGACAAAGTCAAACGACGCCAAATAGCACGGCCTAGGCAGTCAGATCACATCACAGATCTTGCGTTTCGCTGATGTACGGGTGTTGATCGATGATTTACTGAACCAGTGGACTCAAATTTGTCAACACATTGAGGATAGTCCTCTCAGTAGGACGATTATGGCGACCGTAAAATGGGTGGAGCCCATTGCCCGAACAGAACACGCATTTTAATGAAATAATTTTATTATTTGCACGTGTTGTGGAATGCTATATCAGACTGGATTAATGACAACTAATATGATAGATGTAGCTTCAACGACATTGCCATTATCAATTGTCAAAGTTCGGGAATTTGGATGAGCCTATACATGAGAGCAAGCTGGGGCATTCAACATGCCGAAGGGTAGTCTAAAGAACTCTGTTACCTTATCAAAACATACGCAATCAACAGACCCAGAAACGTTGATAACTCTCGAATTGATGCAGAAAATGTGTTTTTTCTCCAGTCTACTCAAAGCGTACAATTTTCCAACTGTCATGACAGCAGGCAGAGCAGGAGGAACGGCTATGGTGATTAAGTCTAAGGCTTTCATCAAAATATCCAACGGGTTGATTTGTCTGGATGACTGAAAAATTACACAGTTCAAATGTTTGACCTGTTTGAAAAAAATAATTCACCTTCGAAGCGATTGTATATATCATCCCTAGTAAAGCAACCATAGCTAATATTCCGATAAATTTATAACTATCTCTCTCAAATTTGAAATCAGCGGGTGGCGGATATAAAATACTTCTCACCAACTCTCCTTTAGCAGTTAAGTAGCCGGTTCTTATAACAACAGCTGATACCTGTTCTTCACCTGAAACACAATAATATTTTGTAATCAATATAATAAGTGATGTTTATCATTGTACCTTTACACCGGGTTTGTATTATTTTTGTTCCACAAAAAATAGTGTGGTACGTATCTTCTCTCAAGTTATACTGATTGAAGTCGGCTGGTAATGGTGTTTTGGTAATTGGCACTGATTCACCTGTAGAAAAAAGGTAATTCATAGTATAGTATTCAATGCCTCTCATGTGGACGTACGACTTCGTAGGTACGTGTGGCGGAAAAACAACAACTAGCCCAGCTAATGCCGCGCAGAAAGCTGAAATTAAACCATTAGCACGTATGCAACGTCTTCCATTTGGAAACGGCAATGTTTCATATACACAAACAAACTTTTTGATGGGAGTTGACTTTTGAAACTCGAACGAATGTCGTGGCTTTTCAGAGTCGAAAGTTAGACTAAATCAAAATATCGGAACGCAGCAAAATTTGTCCAAAATGTCGGTCGGGGCTTTCTTCTGCCCCGCGCGCGATGCGTCATAGTCCTCTCTGAACGTACCAAATTCTTTGACCCTTCAACTATCGGGTGGGGAGATTGGAGTTTCTTATTCAAAACTTTGAAATTATTTTCTCTATGGAAGCGCTTTAAAGAAGTATAAACCTCAAAATCGACCACTACCCCGATGAAATTACCTGTGAGCATGCTTTCATTGACCACACAATGTCCTGTCAGTAACACGGCGTCGCACTGCATTTGACATCCACCAGATGGAATGATAATCAAGTCTCCTGGAACCAACTCGGTCGTAGGAATTCTCTCGTAAATATCATTACCTCTGCACACAGTAACTGTATCAACGAAATTCACCTTGCCTCTCAAATTCTTCTGGTTCTGAAAATATAATGATATTTCAAAACAAGCACCCTTCCTGAACATTAAAAGTTAAACTGTCTTCATCTCCTGAAGCCCTGTTTTTTAGGACAGGACATAAGCACTTCAGAAAAATCCTCAAGGTGCTCTTAGAGACGTACGTTCATTTTGCGACATACAAATCAGGTAATATTCAGTGCAGGTAATATCCTGGAAGGAAACTATCGTGAACCCCCCCCCCCATCGTTAATACTGAATAATGAACAGTTACCCAAGAAGACAACGTGAGATTTTTAGAAATTATTTTTGATCAAAGGTTGAGATGGGAAGAACACTTAAAAAAATTAGTAATAGATTGTCAAGCAAGGCTCAATATACTAAGAACGCTAGGCAAATATAGAATGGGAAGCAGACAGGAATATATTGCTGTCTCTGTATAGATCATTAATAAGATCGAAAATGGATTATGGAGCTGCAGCTTACTCATCGGCAACTAAAACCACCAGCTGCCCCTGCAGGAAAGCTCCCTCCCTCACTTGTGCTCCCTCCCTCACCCCTTCTTGGGGTTCCCTCTGTGGAGATGCACAAGTGAGGGAGTCCAACTCCCAACGACAGTAATGTCGCTGCCCTTTCCAAAACCATCGCGGAGATCACCGTGAGACACCTCAAGGTTGCCAAAGAGAGTGTGGGTTCGGTCTCAGCCTACACTTGCCGATATAAAGGAGATGTCTGCTAGTGACCTGTCCACCTTCCTGGAAAGGACAGGATGGACGATGACCTAGGAGGACAACTCCTCGGGAGGATGTACAATGGGTCACATGTGACCTAAGTGCTGTAGGTTAACACTCACCTTCCCTACTCTACAGATGCAGATAAAACCACCTTAAAAATATTGGATGGAGTTTACAATACTGCACTTCGCCTAGCACTAGGAGCTTTGAGGACAACGTCAGTGGGTAGTTTGTATAGCAAATGTGGAGAAACTCCCTTGAAGATAGAAGAATGTATCCAAGACTCACACATGCTACTAGAAAAAGCTCGAACCTCGATAATGGGAATGAAAGATCAGTGAGACGTCACAACAAGCCAAGAACTGCAAAACCATTTCAGAACAGAATACAAACGGATCTTTTATACCTTAATCTACCCCTACCAACCTGAGTCCCACCAAGTTTTGAATTTCCTCCACCGTGGATAGTGCAACAACCAAAAAAGATAACAGATTACAAAATTACCTTTCTAGTCTGAATAACTGATGTGGAAATTGCCGTCACTGACATTATTATTAACGCTATTGTATAATAATAGTACTTCTCACAGAGCCAGACTATCAGGCTGAATACTTGGAAGACATAAAACGGCGTCAAGGCTTCTAATATAATCAGGGTTGATATTGTTTGTACAGGAACTGTAATCTCATTCGGTCCGTAAGTAATCCTCCTAGAACCCATTCTTATTTGAATTTCTGTCGTTTGATTACACAACACTTACTTCAGAGCTTGTTTCTCTTCGCCTTGTCCTTTGAACGAATGCAATTCATTTCTATTTATGCCTTTATCGAATCCAGCGAGTTTGGTGAAAGTGTTTTTTTCTTCATCCCAGACGTAAACTAACTTCTTACAGGTGATTATACGAGCTTGTGCGAATTCTGAAAAACAACTATTTCATCACTTGTGGCCTCCAGGATGTCCGGATTCGGTCCCACTTACGTTTTTGTCTACCGTCACATAAATTGAATTCTAGCATGCTATTTTCATCCAACTGTTTGTCATCTTGCCTTTCTCTGAAAATAATTCATCTTTCAAAGTTCACGATAAATGACGCTTGTACCTGAATATGTTTCCTCTCAGTGTTTTGACGTCTTTCACGAAATATGATTTGAAATTATGATACTTGTCCTGAAAAACGTGAATAACTGTACGACTCGTACACAAGTTTGTGAAATATTTCCTTACAATCACTAAGACCTTTTCGGCATTTTTCAAACTACATCGCTTGTATGTCGATCTCAGCTTCAAATGAGGATACCAGTGGAAAAATAACCTCAATGTTCCCAAACTCAATATATAAAATATCCAAGTGATTCTATTTCTCACATTACAGGAAACGTATCCTTCAATTTCCTGAAAGCAAAAGAAATATTCATCAAACAACGGTATGTGACTAATAGAACTTAAATAAGGACTTCATCATTCAAACATTTCAAGGTCATCAAGGAGTTAAGTACGGGATTGAAAAGTATCCTCAGCAACTCGTTTTATTCATTTTTAACCACATTTCAAATATTGTACATCTCACTTCAGTTCATAACACGTAGTACATTCATCAAGCTCAACTATAGTTCAGTTGTTGACTTTAAAATTTATTTTCAATCACAATAAATCTCGAAAAGTTTAAAATGGTGAAGGAGCAAGAATTTTGTTGTATAAACTACAATGTAACATATTTAAAATCCAGCATCGAAAGTATTACTATTTGAATGATGAAATATACAGGGTGTTAAACATCAAAGGGTGATTCGTTAGGTCGTTTAAAAATCCTATGAACGTATCTCCGGAGTTGCTTCGTTTCTAATATACAGGGTGTTGAGGTTTTAAAGAACCGTATTCATAAAATACAGGGTGTAACTAAATAAGTGTAAAACATTTAAGGAGGTGATTCCTCATCGAAAATAAGATAGGATCTTTCATATAAAGAAATTTCATTGAAGCATCCCTTGTTAAGATACAGCCCTTTGAAGGAGGTACATAAAATTTTATAACAATTTTTTTCACAAGCATTGAAAAAGTTACAATATTGAAATCAACCTGACGTTTTGTACTACCAAAAAGACACTTAGCCAGGAATTTATTTGGTTTACCCTATGGTTGTAAGGGGTGGAAAACGCAACACCTAAAATTTATTTCCAATGTAACTTTTTGTCTTATTATTTGTTTACCATTTAAAAATTTGAACATTTACTATGATTTCTACATGTTGTGTGTTTTGTTATTAATAAATTAGTTTTGTTTATCACCCTTTAATCGTTTAATGCAGGTACTAACGACAAAATAACAATAAATCCACTTCGCATTTATGGCGATGTATCTCTGTAGTTGTTCGTAAAATATTTTTTTGCTGCGAACTGGTTTATTATGGGCAAAAAACCTAAGATATATTTTTTGTTTAGAATGAAACAGGCTATCGAAAATAAATGTTTTAATGGTAAACAAATAATTAGATAAAAAGTTATCTACATTGGAAATAAATTTTAGGGGTTGCGTTTTCCACCCTTTTGGTAATCGTTATACCAAAAGTTATACAGGGTTATTCTGTAATTATGTAAAGTTTCATCTAAATCCGTCCAGTCGGCTACAAACATACATTCCTACAAATATCCATTCTGACAAACTTTCACATTTATATTAGTATATATAGATAGGTAGATATGAACACATACCATTCTGAACTTTGCTTCTCGCACATAGTGATGCGATATTCTTGGATTTTTCTGGCATAACACATGCTGGTTACCCCAAGATGGATTTACAAATTTCACAATTGACTTTTCAAAAACAACTTTTCCGTAATCCCATACTGTTATTTTGATTTAACGGTATTCAGATGACAATTGATAAGTTAATGTTAACATACGGCATATATTTGATTTACCTACCATTTGATCATCTTGTCCGTAATTGATAAACTGCTTCCCCTGTATATCTTCACCGCTGCTTTCATTCTCGCTATTTTTTGTTATCCTCTATATGACTATCTGTAACAAAAAAACTATCATAGAAAAACTATTCTTTCGGAATAAAGATTATAGTAATTGAATTTCCAGAATACCCATTATGCAAAAACACACTGGTATAACGACCTTTTGAGCTGAGTAACTGTAATAGTGAAACCTTCAAATGATCATTTATTATTATTCTGTGACAGGTGCAAAAAAAATCATGATGAAAAAAGTATTCATGTCAAGTAGCCATCACGTTGCTTATTTCTTGCTAGCTGTTTCATGGGTTTGTCAGTTTTTTTCTTCGTAATTGACCTTTATTAAAAACATTCATCTATTGAAACAAGTTTTTAGTTGCTGATATCACGGAGGGATTATATAATAAGAATCGTGATAAATAGAAATCACATATCGCCAAATGAAACACAGTCGAAGATTGCAAAGCAAAGTCTTCCCCGTTCTGCTGTCTGTCTTTTAGAAACGCGATAAACTCAAAAAAAATGACAAATCAAAATTAAATCCTTTATTTTCCTGTTTGACAATTTCATAAGTAATTGTGTTAGGAATAGTCAGTAATAGGTGAATTACAAAGCTAAATTACATACTACAATCAAACTAGACACACATCACAACATACTTACGTTAAATGATCATCAACGCTTTAAAACACATTAAAAACCAAAAGTTGAATTCACAAAATTTTGCATATAATAATAAATATGTATCATCTGGTGACGTTTTAAAGACTATCCATTTTCTTTATCCAGCCTATTTAAATCAAAACATCATAATTTGTAGTTATGATTCGTCTTTTGATGTAAATCAATTTGATATTATTATTATTGACAGTGAAAATATAAAATTGATCGTAGGTTAGATGAAGATGGATAAAGTCTTCGAAACATCATCAGATAAGTGTACAAATAGAATAGGTTTCCGCGGTTTGAAATTTGAATTCTGAATTTTGGGTTGAACCGTGCTCAAAGTTTTGCATTGTTTGACGTTTCGGCTTCGATTTTGAAGCCATTTTCGAAAAGTAGAAAAGTGTGGCTATAGTGAGAGACACACTTTGGGGTTTTGATGTTCTGGCCCTTCCAAATCTTCGCGACGGTATGACTCTCATAGACCCACGTTTCATCCAAATGAAAAATATATTTAACCGCAGTGCTCTGGTTTTTTTCTGTTAAATAGTTTATTCTCCATTCTACAATCTCTGATTTTTCTATTAACATTGTATTTTTCATAACTCCATTGGAAACCGATTTGGGAACTTTAGTGTTCTCCATACTGAAATTTGCCATTCAATTATTTTTAATTTATTCAGTTTTGGAATGTCTGATTTGATTAACTTTCACTTTCTTCCAAACAAAAACTTTTGAACTCAATTCTATTCCACTCACTTACCAATCTATTTTTCTACTTTATTCTCACCTGTCCCAATCCGCTGTTCATCAAGAATAGTGAAAGCTTTGAAGTTCTCATGAAGAAATATTAATGAAGATTTGTGTTATATACATGTATTTATTTATGACCAATCCATGGCCTACTTCTCTCTACTTGATTATCGTCCTTTCCTTCTCCTCTATTACCAGTAATTGACTTTTTGTTTTGGCCTCCTCACTCTCTAATTGTTGTTTTTCTAATCGACTTCAATTTTTTTAACTCACTTATCTTATTTCACTAGTCTCTCGTAAACTCTGATTTTTCTATTTTCATTTTTCTTTCCTCTTCTTCACTATCTTCTTTCTTCTTCTACACAGTATCGATTTTTAGTTCACTTCCTCCAATTTTTTTTATTCTCCACTCTGTTTTTCTTTTTATTTCTGCAGTTCTTCTTTCTTCCACCTAATTGAGCTGTATTCTATTTCACTTCTTCCTCAATTTGTCGGCGTTTCTCTACTTCACTGCGAGTTTCTTCTGCAACCTTTTCTGGCTTTTGCACTCTTCCACATTGACTTACTACATTACTTATGTATCTTTTCTAGAAGGGCTGACGCTTCTCAATATAATTTAATCCCCTCTTTTTATTGTATTATATTTTATTTCAAATCTTCTATTTCTTCCTTTCCTTTTGTTTTCTATTTTTCACTTCTCTACTGTACTCCTCATCATTTTACTATATTATCATCTATCTCACTCCTTTCCTATCGACCCACTTTGATTTTTGTCAATCTCTCTTTCTCTACTATTCTCTTTTCTTCTTTACTTTTCTTAATGTGTGTTATTTCACTTCTCTCACCCCTTATCACTTTGCTACTTCCTTCATTCTACTACTTCTTTGTTCACTTCACTATTCCATCTACTTTCCCACCTTTTTTCATTTGCATTCTATTATTTGTTTTTCTATCTCTTCCTGCTGAGCTTCTTAGCTTCCCTCCTTTGCACTTTTTTTGCTTCTATAGGAACTTTATTATATTTTCCTTCTTCTATTTCTTTCTCTCCTACACCACTCCTACTTTCTATTTACCTACTATCAAGGCTACTTTCCTCTTCTACCTTATAGATTATTTTCACCTTTCAACGATATTCTGACCCTTGCAAAATGAAATCATATTCTAAAGTGAAAATTCAATTTTAATTTTCCACGAAAATCGCCTACAATAATTGTAATCCTCTGTTAATTACCAGCAAAAATTTACATATTTCCACACTGTCTGTAAATTAGGTAATCAGACAAATGTCGGGGAATTTTCGCTGAGCATACTTCATTCTTGCGAGGCTCAATCAGGAAGAGGAACGTTAAACAATATAATTGAGCAGGATTTACCATAATATCCGACCTATACGAAGCCCAAGGGCAGTGTCGTAATTGTAAAACACTGCCCTACGCTTTTGAATATTCATTCAAATAAAAACCTAATATGCAGTAAAATAGTACGAAAAAATTAACAACCGAGAGTACAAAATATATAGGGCCGCAAAAATGTTAATTGCCGCGGAAAACAGGGTCGTATACAGGGAGGGAATGAAGACCATTGCCTTTCACCAGGGAAAATATACAAACGGTAAAAAAAAGATTCCAAATACATGAATGTGTTTGCGTTGCAAACTCGTATTTCGTACTAGATCGTTAATTCACTCACAATAAACATACGTGAATGTTTCAAAAAAGTCAAAAGTTCAATTCTAATCCCAGCAAATGGTATCAGTGATGTACTGTGATGTATTAATGTGGGGTTCTTCTGTGGGGGCAGAACGTGTTTTTATTGTTCAAAAAAGAATAATTAGAACTATCTTTAATATTGCAGCCAGGGATAGCTGTAGACCTGCTTTCTGCAAGCAAGATGAATCAATAGTTCATAACTATGCAACACGAAATAGACATTTATTAACTATCCCAAAACATAAAATATCGACATTCAAGGAATCACTTGCATATAATAGCATAACATTATTCAATACATTGCCTCAAGATATTAAAGATTTGCATATTATACCATTTAAAAAACAAATAAAGGAGCTATTAACTAATAAAGGATATTATAGCGTAGAAGAACTCTTAGAACGGGATACATTGTTATCATGATTATTGCTTTCACTGCATTTCTTTCATCCTAATTAAAGATAAATTTACTTTATGTATATTTATGTATGTGTATACATATATGTGTATACATATATGTGTGTTTGTGTTATTTTTTATATATGTATATAGTTAAGTACCTGTTTCAAGTGTCCGAGCTATGTTATACTGTGGGCCGTTATAATTGTTTCATATAATTTTCATATTTTTATTTTTGACATGTCTTATGTCATGTATATGATCGAAAAGACGAATAAAGTTAATACTTTCAGGATTCTTTTTGCTGAGATCTCTAGCTTTGGCGGCGGTCATATAACATATGCCTAATTCTGTATATATTTAGAGGTAGTCCTTGTAATTTCATGTACAAAATATTTGTTTTTCCGGCATGTTACTTTATTCATTCAATTGGCACATCGTAGTTTTGTTGTTCAATGTTATTTGGCTTAGTGGTGTAAATCTTATTGCTTTTGTATATGTAATTATGTCCGCTTATTGTAAGAGTGAATTTATGTGTATTTATGATCTCCTTGCTAACTGTATATTTGTGATGTTATCATGGTGACTGTATGCTTTGTCATGAGAATTGTTATTCTTGGACAATAAAGTATATTTTGATTTGATTTGATTATTATTATTATTATTATAAAGTGGAAACAGTATCGAAAATTGAACTTACTTCATGATGGATACTATACACACTATAAATGAAAAAAATAAAGTATACAATAGATTTAAAAAATATGGAGGACAACATCTGTATCAATTTTTTCCCATTTACGTAGAAATTCCAAACTGTTGATTCAAAGGGATTACGATAACTATATAAATAATTCTGAAAATGAAATCCTCATTGATTCTAGAAGTTTCTGGAAGAATATAAAATCAAAAAAACAAAATTCGAATATACCTCAATCCATGGACGTAGATTTCTACGTCCATGCCTCAATCAGTATTTTTAGACGATCTATGATGGAATCGGCCGATACTTGATGAAAATCCATAACTAACGTATTCCAAAAACACTTTATTGTGAGATTTTCACTAAATTGTTTTACAAAAACGCAACACGTGTTTCGCCATACAATGGCTTCATCTGGCGTGTCTTTCAACTGTGGTTGAACATTCCAAATTTTTGTTATATGCCGATGACCTCAAGATTTATCGAACCATCAAAGAAATCCAGCACTGTGAAGCATTTGCAGAAATCTGTGGCAATAGTAGCCTGTATTTGAATCTCGATAAATGTCACAAAATAACTTTCACCAGAAAGAGAAATCCCGTTGATTTTCAATATCAAATAGGAAATCACACAATCAAAACAGTTAATGAAGTACGTGATTTGGGAGTGATAATGGATTCCAAAATGATTTTTAAGTCCCACATTGAGAAGACCGTTAATATGTGTAATCGTTTATTGGATTTCATTATAAGAAATACAAGACATGTCAGAAATGCAAACACTCTTCTTAATCTATATAACTCTTAAGTATATAGTCGTTTGAACTTTGCATCTGTCGTTTGGAGTCCACAATATTCGATTTACCAACATAGAATTGAAAGAGTTCAAAATAAATTCGTCAAACAATTGGCGCGTAAAACTGACATTTCTATAATCAATGGAAATTTCCGTCCAGTTTTCAAAAAGTATTCTTTGTTGTCTCTTACAGATAGAAGAAAAATGTCAGATATATTAATGCTGTACAAATTATTCAATAAACGTGTCGATTGTCCTTCGTTGATAACAAAAATTTCATTGAATACACCTTGCAGAGACTTGCGAAACCATGATCTCTTTGCTGCAACCCCATTTAGAAAAACCAATTCAGGAAAAAACTCTCCTTTATGCAGAATTGTCAGATCCTTCAATACTCATTGCAATGATATTGAAAAACTGAGGTTATCGTTCCTTAGATTTAAAAAGTATGTGAAATTTATTTTTGGTTATAATTAGTTATCGGTGCTTCATATACTGTTTATTTAATTTTTTGTTAATATCCATTACTATATGGTGTAAAGTACTTAGCATTTATATTTTGTTTACTCACTATCTTTCATATGTAAAATGAGGATATTTTTTGGATTTATTCTGTTTGTATTCCTGTTAGTGTAATAAATAAAATAAATAGAGAAACATGGAAAGTCACGAAATGTTATGCTTGATATTTCCAATGTCTCTGACCGTGTGTGGCATGAGGCTTTGCTGGTCAATCTTCAGCTTCCTTTTACCATCAACGCTGGTGTTTCCCAGGGATCCATATTGTCTCCAACCCTCTTTTTATTGTCTAGCAATGACTTATTGGAAACAACCAAGAATCCAATATATTGCTTTGCCGACGACAGCACACTTGTCTCGTCATTCCATTTGGATTCCTAGACATCGGCTAAAGAGGCACATCTTCACCGACAGCAGGAGGTTGCATATCTTAATGAGGATCTAGAAGTGATTTCGAATCGGGGTGACACAAAAACAGTGACACAAAAACCCAGGCATCGGTTTTCCCCAAAAAGATAAATGTCTCTGAACCGGACATAACAAGAAACAATGAAACAGGAAATGTTTTACAAAGATTTCAGTACAGGTAGATCTCAAAAATTAAAAGGCTACATAGAAAATAATGGTGGGAAAAATGAATTGCCGAAGCAACTCAAGTGAATATGAATAACAATTTCCAAAAAATTGTTTGGTTGACTTAACTGAATTTTTCAAATTCCGAAGAGAGGCCTGCAACCTCACAGCCCCCGCCTTGGTCCTTACTTGTTTTATGTATGTTGAAACGATGAATGAGAGCTCTGTTTTCGGTGAATTATCTTGAAAAAACATTCCAAATATCCAACGAAACCTACCTTCATCACTGAAGGAATCCACCATACTCCTGCGAGGGTGTAACGTCAGTGGCTTGTCCTGAAAAAAGCGAGAACAACAGCACTTCCACTCACTCACTCTCTTGCACAGAGTGTTGGGAAAATGACTGACCCAGTGCGGGACTGCGAATGCTAAACATTCTCATAATCATTTATGTATTTACCTACGCTGTTTGGGTACGAACGCTCGCCGATAAAAAAATTAACGAGTTCCGTAAGCTTGGTTCGCGGTGTTCATTTTCTCTACGGGGTGGTCCATCGAATGCGGATGGAGTCAACCGGTATACCGGGTGGGAACGTAAAATTTTGTCTTTCTGTTGCTGGCAGACTTGTCCAGTTCTTTCGTATCTCCGGGAAAGACTGTAGATTCTGTTACTGGCTAAAAATAACACTCGGTATACAAGTTATCGTAAAGTAAGGTTGGTTGCAGAACAACATAATCATAATTACGTGCACTGGTAGATCAGTGAAAAGCGACAACAGCATGGGTAGCGGTTCTTTACTGGGAAAGAATATATAAGGGAAATGTACATTGAATTCACAATGACCATGTCGTTTTGGTAAATGTGAGCCTACAAAATACGAAATCGCAAGTGCTAATAATGTGACCAAGTGGTCAGAAGGTTTAAAATATGTTCAACTGATGAGAAATAGAGCTTTCCATGAGGGTATAAAGCTTTATTCGGAACAAGAATGAAATTGGGTTGGAAATCATCAAATTTACCTATGAAATCTGTGGAACAGCTGGAAACAGAAGAAGAGTTAGAGCAATTACAAGAAGGAGTACACACAGCCAACACAGCCACATAACAAAGTCGCAGAAAACAATGAATTTTCTATTGAAACGTTAGATATACTTTTGGATGATGTTTTATTATGCAACCAAATTGAAGACACTTGTTCAACGTCTTCGACTTGGAAGATTCGCCGCAAGCTATTTCCCACTATGAAAAGCAGAAATTATTTTCGTTTGGTCGATCCGAACAACCGATAGACCGGTTTTAGGGTGTTTGTTCCATTATCAGTACCGGGCATGGTATCTCCGGAATATCAATCATTAATCCGACACCGCGGAGTATGTTTGTGAAGAACATAAAACCAGAGAACATAAAACTCATAAAACAAGTCAATAAAGGAAACCGTATGAACATCCATCCATTCGTTGGCCTCCTAGAACACCAGATGGCAATCCATTAGATTATTTCGTGTGGGGTTTCATTAAAAATATGGTTTACTCTACTCCAATAACATCAATGGAAGATATGAAATCGAGAGTTACAACTGCTTTCAATAGTTTGACTCCAGACTTGATCAGAAGCGCTACACATGACAATCTTTTGAAGAGATTACATGTTTGTTTAAGTAGAGGTGGTGTTTGAACATATTCTGAAATACACTGACGATTAAATTAACTCATTAATTTATGGGTTTATTATTTTCAGTTCGTGTTTCAGCGTTAATAAAACTATTGTTTGAAGAGAATTTTCATTCGATGGTTGAGGAGTATTTTAATAATTATCTTTTCATTGTTTTATCTGTGACTAATTGAGAAACATCAAACGAAATCTGTTTTACGAAAATGAGTGATGAACAACGAAACCATGTCAATTTCCGTTTGAAACAGTTTATCTCGAAAACGGTTCAAAATAGAAATAGTATCATCTGAACAAAGTTAATCTAAAATTGGATGTAGAGCTCAAAAATGTTGAAATATACTGGGTGTTCCATTTGAAAAAATTGAGTTCCACTCATTTTTTCATGAGATCAAAGTATCTGCATTTTTTGAAGACCCTGTTTGAGGCAAATGAAAATATGACTCGGAGTGAAGATCCTCATAGTATCACTCCACTCCATTTCAAATTTGATCGTTTTAGTGCGAGAGAGTTCAAGATTATCAGCATTTATAAAAGTTCATGTTTGGTAAAAAAAATTTCGACATTAATTTATATCTTCTAAACGGTAAAAGATAGGTATAGGGAAATAGTATATGAATTTGTAAACAAAGTGATAATGAATCATAATATGATATTATATATGGGGTGTTCCCTTTCAAAAATCAAAGAAGCCGCTACTTTATAGTAGAAGCGACAACGCCGCTTCATCTGAAAATTTTAGGCGTGTAGGTTATATTGACTTATGCATACTGTGGAATTTTCAGGTTAATCCGTTGAATAGTTTGCCAGAAACGGCTAATTAACGCTCATCATGAAAAGCCCTGTATAATAGATATATGTATATGTACATACCATACAGCCCATGGGCATGATGAAACTTCAACTTCGAAGAGCTGTATCTCTTAAACTATCAACATTTGGACTTTGGGTATAGGAACACTTTTGATCTACTAGTTAAGAACTATAATTTCCCAAAATTACAAACAATTTGGCCAAAATCCAGTTTTCATAAGGAAACTGCGGGGTCCTTTAAAAGTCATAATTCAGTTATCGAGGAACAGATACAAATCAAAGCACAACAAAACAATACACAGTCCTAGAAACAGTAAACCTAGAGAAAATCCAACGCAAAGGATGTAACCCAAATACAGGCAAATTAATCTACAGTATTGGCAAATTAATCTACAGTACCTGTAGGTTAATTTGCCAATACAGAAAATACATTCTACATGACGAACTACTTTAGTACTTTGTTGAAAGAAGTCGTCAATTTGAACAGTTTCTGTGGCAATTTTCTAGCCTGATGGATGTGATGCTATTACATGCCTTCCAAAAAGCACAATATATCTCATAAAGAAAATTGATCTAAAAATTTAAAAAAAAGTCTCGACATAGATATCTTCACATAAGAAATGGGAATAAGGGACAACTAGACAAAAAAAAATCACATTTTCTCAAAGTTGATAAACAATCCAACATACAAACGACAGAGATATAACATAATGTATATGTGGAAACGCCATGTCACTGTCTTCAACAGTAAACAGTTATCGCAAGAATTATATTATTCAACAATTCTAAATTACTGATAAAATGGAGAAAATATATATGCGAATAATATTCCAACATTGTGTCTAATGACAACCACAATGTTTTTTTAACAAAAGTCAGTGGCGTGCTATTAGGTATTAGCTCTCCTGGGTCGATTGGATTTTGGTTCAGATGTCATAACCATATGACATCAAGCAAACGAAGTAAACGATATTGTGCACATTTGAAGTGCCGGCACTCTCAAAAGCCAAAAAAAGCAATACATAGAAATGAACCGGCATCAAGCTAAACCACGTGGACTGTAAACTGGGCGGTTCATATTGGATGATTTTTACTAACCGAGTTTTATGATTGGCTGAAATCGGCGAGGATGGTTATCCCCGTCGTGTTCAGTTGGAACTGTTCGCGATTTGATAGTAATAACGAGTGTGATAACAACGCAGACTTTTTCCTGTGTGGTGATTCCAATGGTGAACAATATGAAAAAGTACTTGAATAAGATTGAGATCTATTTGAATATTGAAAAACAGAGAGTACATTTCAATGTTTAAAAGAATCTACATCTCAAGTTTGGTTTAGAGATTTGACCGAAATTCCTTTCTCAACTGTTCGTAAAATAGTCAAAAACAAACCTTATGAATGATGTGATACAGGTTTACAAAAACCTTCAGATGTTTATCTAATAAAATCACTGAAAAAAACAATATACGATTGTTACAAAAGCAATGAGATTCCTACGACTGAAATCATAAGGAAGAAATTGAATTGTTTCGGCCATAACGTGAGCTGCTATAATAAAACTCTTCAGAATTGGATAAAGAAACAAGGATTCAGATTTAAAATAACGAACAAACGTCAAGCAGTTATGGAAAGCAAAAGAATAGTGGAATCGCGTAACACATACTTAGAACAAATAACTAAATATAGACAAGAACAACAGAAAATTTTCTATTTGGACGAAACTTGGTATGACACTCACAACACAGTTATGAAAGGATGGACTGATGGTTCGAGAATGTGTACCCACAACATGCCTGCAAATAAAGAATCGCGACTAATTACTATACATTGCGAGGGAAGTAAAGCATGGGTTCCGAATTCTTTGAAATTATGTGGAAAAAACTTGAGGACTGCAATGTTGACTATCATAAGAACATGAAAGTAATATTTTCGAAGAATGGGTTGAAATTACATCGATCCCAAATTTGGATACGAATAGTGTAGTAGTTCTTGACAACGCTTCCTATCATTCGCGACAGCTCATCGACTGTAGGAAAAATGAAATACAAAGTTTTTTAATGGATAACAATTTGTATTTTGAAGATTTCTATACCAGAAACCAACTACGTGAAGTTTTACAGACAAAAACATTCAAAAAAGTGTATGCCCTTGAGAGTATTGCTAAAAAGTATGGATACACCATATTGAGACTTCCCCCCTATTTTTGTGTTTTCAATTCCATCGAGTTGATTTGGGGAAAATTGAAACAAAGCATTCGGCGTAAAAATAAATTTCCTAAAATTGATTAGAAGGTAATAGAGCTAATTAAAGAAGAAGTATCCAATATTACCGAAACTTTCATATGTCGCGAACTTAATGTATGACACTGTATGTCATTACCGGCTTCATACATCATTTATTTTATGTGATTTATGTGTATCAGAATGAATTTCTCATTAAAAAAGACTAACTGATTCAAATAAATTCCAAGAGAACTTAATTCAAACATCTGATAAATCCGACAAAAAACGAATGCGTTTCTCAAACCTACCTGCATTATCGAAAGAATCCACCATACTCCTGCGAGTCCTGCAACAGAATAAAATCTCCTGCAACTATCTGCTAGATGTCGGTGTTCTGAAAAACACGAGAACTACTTAACTTTCACCTACACACGAAAGTACACAGACTTTGAAGTAAATGACTGGTGGAGTTGGTATTCAGTATTCAACTGTGATAGCTAAACAATTTCATAATAAGTTATTTACCTGCGCCTGTTTGAATAATAACAACGCTCGCCAATGAAAAATGAAAGAGTTCCGTACGGTGAGTTCGTGGTGTTCATTTTCTCTACAGGATGGTCCACCGAATAGGATTGGGTTGAGTTGGTGTCATTAGACCCAACTTCACGTAACTTTGATCAGAAAAAAATGGGTTTCATCTGCTCTGGGTTTCGCTCCATGTTCTGTGTATTTTATCCCCATAAGGATTATT